CGGGCGGAGTGCAACAACCTTTGGTAACCACTTGGTTCTTGAATTTAAAAGAATTTTTAAACTTGCTTGGCTCTGTCACCTTAGCCTTTGAACTCACAAATTCCTCGTTTATACCCTTAAGCATGTTCGGCCGTGTCATCTCGGTCCCTAAACTGGCAAATCGTTTGTTTAAATCCACAAACATAAGCAATTTCGTCACCTCGGTCCCTAAAATCACAAATCGCAGTCGGAATAAGTGCGGCCATGGCACCGCTCGCCCATAGGGGCTCGCTCAGGCACGGTGGTGGTATAGACCCGTTTAGACTGGTTATGAGACCCGAAACAAAGATCGGAGATTTTAATGGGCAACTTGCAAGTTTAGGGATCGACATGACATGACGGAACAAAGTTTGAGCATCCAAACGGCACGGGAGCTCCGGGATGGACGGATGCTGCCTCCGGAGTGGGATGGGCCCTAGTAAAGGGAGTTGTGTTCGTCGGACACGCGCGGCACCTGTGTTTTGACAGACGCCGCGTTCGAACGTCCGGGCGCTAGTAATACCCAAATATATTTTTGTGAAACACATGTGTGCAAACCTTTTCTTATGGTGTATGCACGTCCAACCTATCTCTAGTACATCATACAAAAGTCTTAGATAGTATATCATAAAATTTAAAAAGTCACAAGAGATATCATTTGTATGCAAATGATAAGAAACTAGAAAGCCCCATGTAATTTACAGCATATTTGGTTTATAGAATGAGGCAATCCACAATCCAGAATGATTCGAACCTAGAACCGAAACTAACAATATTGTTTGGTTTGCAGCGTGGAATCACACCATTCATCGCTGAGTGCTTTCACGGAAGCGATTGTGAGGAACCAACGGCCACGTCATTCCACAAAAAGTGCCACACGACTCGTTCTGTTTTTTACAAGTTCCCGTAATGCTGGATGAATTCATTCGCCCAACCAAACAGACTATAACAGTTTCACATTTCCTTGTGAATAAATCAAATATGTTATTTATGAAACAAATATGGCATCGTCCTTATGGGAGATTCAAACACACAATGATAATGGTGTGGAAATAAAAGAAAACCAAAAACCGTTAAGGACCCAAAACGTTTCCATTTTCTCATTTTTTTCATATTCCTGGCTACCATTTTTATTTATTTTTACCCTAAGACACGGAAACATTGGAAAAATCTCATGAACTGGATTTTCATTTTTTTTTCACTTCCATCACTGTCGCGCACCTACAAATAGAAAATGAGTCAAAACTGGAGTTTGACCATTAACGGGTGGAGTGCAACAACCTTTGGTAACCACTTGGTTCTTGAATTCAAAAGAGTTTTTAAACTTGCTTGGCTGTGTCACCTTAGCCTTTGAACTCACAAATTCCTCGTTTATACCCTTAAGCATGTTCGGCCGTGTCATCTCGGCCCCTAAACTCGCAAATCATTTGTTTAAATCCTCAAACATAAGCAACTTCGTCACCCCGGTCCCTAAACTCACAAATCGCAGTCGGAATAAGTGCGGCCATGGCACCGCTCGCCCATAGGGGCTCGCTCAGGCACGGTGGTGGTATAGACCCGTTTAGACTAGTTATGAGACCCGAAACAAAGATCGGAGATTTCAATGGGCAACTTGCAAGTTTAGGGATCAACATGACATGACGGAACAAAATTTGAGGATCTAAGCGGCGCGGGAGCTCCTGGATGGACGGATGCTGCCTCCGGAGTGGGATGGCCCTAGTAAAGGGAGTTGTGTTCGTCGGACACGCGCGGGACTTGTGTTCGGACGGACGCCGCATCTGGACGTCCGGGCGCTAGTAATACCCAGATATCTTTTGTGAAACACGTGTGTGCAAACCTTTTCTTATGGTGTATGCACGTCCAAGCTATCTCTAGTACATCATACAAAAGTCTTAGATAGTATATCGTAATATTTAAAAAGTCACAAGAGATATCATTTGTATGCAAATGATAAGAAACAACTAGAAAGCCCCATGTAATTTACAACATATTTGGTTTATAGAATGAGGCAATCCACAATCCAGAATGATTCAAACCTAGAACCGAAACTAACAATATTGTTTGGTTTGCAGCGTGGAATCACACCATTCATCGCTGAGTACTTTCACGGAGAGTTAATTCTAAACGATTGTGAGGAACCAACGGCCACGTCATTCCACAAAAAGTGCCACACGACTCGTTCTGTTTTTTACAAGTTCCCGTAATGCTGGATGAATTCATTCGCCCAACCAAACAGACTATAACAGTTTCACATTTCCTTGTGAATAAATCAAATATGTTATTTATGTAACAAATATGGCATCGTCCTTATGGGAGATTCAAACACACAATGATAATGGTGTGGAAATAAAAGAAAACCAAAAACCGTTAAGGACCCAAGACGTTTCCATTTTCTCATTTTTTCACATTTCTGGCTACCATTTTTATTTATTTTTACCCTAAGACACAGAAACATTGGAAAAATCTCATGAACTGGATTTTCATTTTTTTTCACTTCCATCACTGTCGCGCATTGACTATGCTGCCTACAAATAGAAAATGAGTCAAAACTGGAGTTTGACCATTAACGGGCGGAGTGCAACAACCTTTGGTAACCACTTGGTTCTTGAATTTAAAAGAGTTTTTAAACTTGCTTGGCTGTGTCACTTTAGCCATTGAACTCACAAATTCCTCGTTTATACCCTTAAACATGTTCGCCATGTTATCTCGGTCCCTAAATTCACAAATCGTTTGTTTAAATCCTCAAACATAAGCAATTTCGTCACCCCGGTCCCTAAACTCACAAATCGCAGTCGAAATAAGTGCGGCCATGGCACCGCTCGCCCATAGGGGCTCGCTCAGGCACGGTGGTGGTATAGACCCGTTTAGACTGGTTATGAGACCCGAAACAAAGATCGGAGATTTCAATGGGCAACTTGCAAGTTTAGACTGTCTACAATAGAGACACTCAAACGCAAAATCGGTGTCGCACAGTACTTTGCATATCCAAAATCACGCTCCAACAGAAGACCCATACAAAGAATCCATTTTGGGTCCGAGGCCGGCAAGAACACAAAAAGCATCGTCGAGGGGAGACGACGCAAAATCTGCGCGAGAGAGGTAGACGACGCAAAAGGGGCACTCGCCAGCCGTAAAATCTTGCTTGCCCGCCGGTGGTGGCCGAGGAAGGCCCTCCGCCTCAAGTTGAGGGGCACTGCTGAGGCCCGCGTGGCCATGACACCGCCAGGAGGCCCGGCCGCACCGGCTAATCGCCATGGGCGAGCACTGCAGGGGCTGGTGGATATATATATATATATATAGAGAGAGAGAGAGACGACATTTGAGGAGGAGGGGCACCGAGGCCCGGGCCTCGCCTGGAGGCCAGCCAAGGCCGAGAGAGGAGAGAGGCACAGCGCCTGTGGGTGCACCGCCACCGGCATGGAGAGAGGGAGAGATTTTGGAGAGTTGGTGGGAGAGGAATGGGGAGCAGCGGTAGATATTTTGTTCTGGAGAGAAAATTTTGGGTTCATTGTTGAGAGAAATTTTGGGTGGGTGACCCAAAGATAGATATATATATATATTTGGGTTTGATATATATATCGACATGACATATATGGAGAGAGAGACTCGATGACACACACAAGTTTGAAATCCAAATGAGAGGAGGAGAGAGAGAGAGAGAGAGAGCGCATGTACTGGAGGCTCAGGGGAGAGCCGCCGAGGCCACACGCCCGCCTCGCCACACTGAGGGCCGCCGGTCAGGCTTACCACATCAGAGAGAGGAGAGAGAGTCACGCACGCTGCATGTGGTGCACCGCCGCCGGTCATGGAGAGAGGGAGAGATTTTTGGAGAGTTGGTGGGAGAGGAATGGGGGAGCAGGCGGTAGATATTTTGTTCCTGGAGAGAAAATTTTGGGTTCGCTGTTGGAGAAAGAAAATTTTGGGTGGGTGACCCAGTGACTGTTCGTGACCCAATTCTTAGAATGGGTCTTGTATTTGGGTTTGAGCTGTTGGAGATAGTATTTAGGATCGACATGACATGACGGAACAAAGTTTGTGGATCTAAACGGACAATTTACAAGTTTAGGTATCGAGATGACACAACATAACAAGTTTGAAATCCAAATGAGTGATTTGTGAGTTTAGAAACGTAGATGTTACAACCGAACAAGTTCGGGTTCCACTGGTGGGCTTTGCTCAATTTAAAAGGTACATGTCAAGGTTGATGGATTATCTCATGAAAATGGCAAGAACATAGTTCATGCATGTTTTCAATAAAAAAGGCATATATAACCTCAAAATTAATTAAGCTCCACAATAAACCAAAGACCATCGTAAACATCAAAAAAGAATAGGGCCGTTCGGCTTACCCAGAAACCGACTTTGTTCGGCTTGTTTTTTTTTTTAGCCGGAACAATGTTTTTCTCTCACAACAATTCAGTGAGAACAATGTTTTCAGCCAAGTTTCAGCAAGCCGAACGGGGCCCTTGTTATTGATTATCCGATATGCAGTGATGTATAAAGAAAAAATTGTTAATACAGTTGATACATATTCATAACCATTAATTAACCAAACATATATGCTTGTTAAGACCAAAGTTGATACTTTCTCATAATCATATGGCACAGTATACGGATTTGCAAACCTATAAACTTTAAATTAAACTCATAAACAAATAAGTATAATCTAACAAATAAAAAGTTTAAATATTCCCCCTCCGACATGTATTTATTCGACGTAAATAATTTCTTCTGGCTTAATTTTGCACGCACGATTTGCCACTTTCATCTGATTATTTGGTCAAGACAAAATATATTATATTTCCAAAAAAGGGGAAAACTTTGCAAGTTGACGCCTCTGGGCAGGCCGACATCTTCACTTCTTCAGCCCAAGTGCCAAAGCCTCCGCCCGCCGGCATATAAACCAAAACCCTAAAACCCATCTCCGCCTCTCTTTTCCCCTCCCTTTCCCGGCACGGGGAGCGACCTTCGCCGCCGCCGCCATGCCGAAGCACTACCGTCCTGCGGTAATCGTCTCATCGCCCTGGTCCTCCCTGTCTCTCAAAGGACATTCTCTTTGTGATGTGCCGTGGTCCCTGACGTGTTGTTCTTGCCATGTCTTAGGGTAAGAAGAAGGAGGGGAATGCCGCAAAGTACATCACGAGGACCAAGGCGGTCAACTACCTGCAAGTTAGCCTCGCAATCTTCAGGTTCGTTACTATCTCCCGATTACCGCTGTTTATTGCCGGCGAGCCGTCATCTAGACGGCTTACTATTTTGAATAAGCTCGTGGGATGCTGATGCCAACCATGTATGCTGTAACTGGGAAATTTAGTCATTTTTTGCAGTTATTTTGTCCATTGAGCTTAATTACTACTATTTGTTACTGGCTTTCTACATGGCTCGTGTTAGTTCGAATCCTTGAACTCCATTTTTTTGACACTTTCCTATTTATTGCAGGAAGCTATGCATTCTAAAGGGTGTCTTTCCGCGGCAGCCAAAGAAGAAGGTGGAAGGGAACCACAAGACCTACTACCACACGAAGGATATTGCATTCCTTGCTCATGACCCTTTGATCGAGAAGTTCAGGTAGCTTTTCATACCAAATATTTGTGCCACAATCCTCAGTTCAGGGAGGCTACAGAGGGAGTCACTCTAATTCCTTGTTGCTCTATGTAGTGCCTGGGGAATATTATAATATTCCATGAATACCTTTGTATATGTATGTTCAGCTTGAAAAGTGATTTTATGTGTGTTAAGTAATGGAACGGTATTAGGGATTGTTTGGATTTTTGTTGTTTTAACAATATAGGCTGAACTAAATCAACTTCGACTAAACCATTATCCGTTTTTTCTTTCGAAAAAAATTAGAAAAAGGATAAACAATATTCACTTTCAACTAAAGAAAGATGAGTCAAGATTTAATGGACATTTTTTCTAGAATGGTTAAGAACATTTCTAACGAACTGATCTTTTAAATGGCTGAATAGCTTGATCTGAACAGACACTTATTCATGCTAGTTAACCAGAGCATTAATTTATTTGGTTTTATGAATCAAGAACATCTTTTTTTGTGCATTAGTCTATTTCCCCTTTTCTGCCATGTGGGGTGAAAATTTGTATTTTCAATTGAAAGAATGAAACAAACTTAGTGTGGGCAACAAAGGCTATTAGCTGTGCATCGTGGACTCTTGTACATAATGCTACAATTTTGGTATATTTGTAAGGGCCTGTAATTTTAAAAAAGCTATTCTGGATTTTGACTTTGGAAAAGCTGATTTTGGATTAAAATTCTGTATGATGTAGTGTATAACATATGGAATATCACTAGCGCTAACCATTACATCATATCAGAATCCACAAAAGAAGCTCCAGAAGCATGCTGTTTGTTTCAGCTTCTGCTTCTTACTGGCCCTAAGAGTGGTAGCCTCTTGGCTCCTTGTTCGTTGGTGATGAATATCTTACTGGATTATCGTGAAACGAACTAGTGGTGTCTTAGTTAGTTGGCTGTATTTGTTTTCTCTAGGAGTGAATAGAGTATATGAACAAGATCATGTTAAGGGCCTGTTTGTTTCAGCTTTTTGCTGGCTTAGCCCAGCCAAAAGCCAGAAGCTGAGACAAACAGCCTAGCTCTTGAGCTGGCTTTTGAAAAGATGGAAAGCTGGTTTCCGAGGAAATGAATTGAAAGCTGAAAAGCACGTTTTGAGGAGCTTTTCTGGCTTTTGGTGTGCTGAGAAGCTAAAAATTTATTACAAAAGCTAATAGCAAAAAGCCAACAGCTAGAAACCAAAAGTCAGAAAACCAGCTTTTGAGCCAAAAGCCCAAAAGCTGCAGCTCAAACAAACAAGCCCTAAGAATGCTACATTTTTCCTGAGGAATAATTCCTATTACATTGTTTAATGTGCTTAATTCCTTAATGGTATTCCTATTTCATTTAATTCAGGGAGATTAAGGTCCATCGAAGGAAGGTTAAAAAGGCTGTTGCTAAGAAAAACAGGGATCTCGCAGACAGGCTGTTGAATCGGCCACCAACTTACAAGCTTGATAGGCTTGTCCTTGAAAGGTATAACTAAACATGATTATCCATGAGTTCATCGAGTACTCTCTATGAAGCATTAACTGTTCTTTTCTTTATCGAACAGGTATCCAACATTTGTTGATGCTCTTCGTGACTTGGATGACTGCCTTACAATGGTGCATCTGTTTGCGGCATTACCTGCTGTTGATGGTGAACGTGTTGAAGTCAAACGAATCCATAACTGCCGCAGGTATGCTTTGTTTAAAATTACCATGTCTTTTTCTTGGCCTGAGACTCGTGTTCTTTCCAAGTGCACTAGGTAATTGTGCTCTGAATACCTATTTTTGTTGTCACTACGTGTACAGCTATATCTTGCCTGGAATTTTGGCTTATCACAAAAATTCTATAGGTTTCTCTAATATCCTACATGGTAACCTTCAAACTTGCATGTAATCTGTGGATTGCACTTTGTGGTCCTCACCAAGTCACATCCAAAGTAAAATCACAATTTTATAAATGTAAAAGCGTGTGCTTTCATCATTTCTTTTTATGTAGAGGATATTTATTATTTTCTTCTCCTATGATGAAGTCATTTCAAATCTTATGTGCTTTCAAATGTTTTGTTTGTATAGGTTAAGCCATGAATGGCAAGCATTCATATCCCGAACTCATTCCCTGAGAAAGACATTTATTTCCGTGAAGGGCATATGTTACCAGGTAATTATGTATCCCATGATTCTTTTATCTGTCTTTGCATACGTGATGGTCAAAATTCATGATTATGCCATGTAATGCAGGCCGAAGTTCAAGGACAAAAGATCACCTGGCTAACTCCTCATGCTCTTCAGCAATTATTAACCGATGATGTTGATTTCAATGTGATGCTCTCTTTTCTAGAATTCTACGAGGTAAACAAATATGGACCGCTCCTTAGTTCTTGTGTGTTTCATGTTTTGTGCAACTGTCAGTAAATTTCAGGCCAAGACTAATGATATGGTAGTATATTTTATCTGATTTCCGATTATTAGTTATTTGTCTTGTTTTTCATCAAAGATGGGCTTGTTATAGACAAAACGGTGCTGTGGTTTTCCTTGGTGCATAAGCCGCCTTTGATTCTTTTAACCCGTAATCATGGAATGCTAATTTGCAAAGGGCTGAGAATCCTGTAGGTTCTTGATCAAGACACAGTGATGATATTGTAGTGCTTGCATTTCGATTGTAGGGTCGCTGAGCAATTCATTGTCAATCAAGATATCATATTATGACGTCCAATAACTAATGTGGTGTTTTAGAAGCTATATACCAGTATTACATGGTTTTTTGTTGTTATCTACAACTCCCTTTTCCATGAGCATAGTTTCAATAGTTGGCTATTGACACCATACATTTTGACATTTTCATGAATGCTCCCTTAGAAAGTTCAACAGTGCTATTTCTGGTGTTTGTTTCAACCTTTTGACTGAGCCTGTTGTGCCTGCAGACTCTTCTAGGATTTGTGAACTTCAAGCTCTATCATTCAATAAATGTAAATTATCCTCCTATTCTGGATCCACGTCTGGAAGCTTTAGCTGCTGGTATGTTCTGGTGCTTACTATTATTATTCACCTCTGTCCATTTTCTTGGATGTATACACTGCCATATTATTTTTCTCTGTTCTCTAGTTTTATGCGGACTCCTTTTCTGATATCATGTTGCGTGGTGCCAGAGCTATATGCATTGTGCAGATACATGTCTGCTGGTTCCAGAAGAATGATTGGGAATTCACAATCTGACGAAGTTATGGAGGATAAGGACGAGAAGACTAAAGCTGATGGAGTAATTGAGGAAGAGAAGGATGTGAAGAATAAAGCAAGCTCAAAAGCAGATGAATCTGAGCTCAGATTAGCACAGCTTCAACATCAGCTCCCAACTAATGAACCTGGTGCACTGATGAATCTTGTAGAAGAATCGACTGCTGATGATGCAGATGACGACGATACTAAAGAATGTAAAGGTTTATTTAAGAACTTAAAGTTCTACTTGAGTCGGGAGGTAGGTTATTGGAATTTGTCATTTCTGCAAAGCCAAATTTGGGGTTGCAGATCAATTGATTTTTCTGATTTGAATATCTTTCAAATTTTTTAATCCTTTAAATGCACTTTCAGGTGCCTAGGGAGTCCCTATTATTTATTATCGCAGCATTTGGAGGGACTGTTTCATGGGAAGGAGAAGGAGCTCCGTTTAAAGAAGAAGATGATGATATCACTCACCAGGTTGATTGCATTCTCAATAATATATTACACCAAAGTTTAACTATATAGACGGTGACGTTGATGTACCATCTCTAAAGTAAGATGCCACTCTAAGTACCACGACAGAAATGTCATAGTAGGGGCAATAATTACTACAATACAATTTTTGTATGTGACTAACTGTTCAGATTACACCCGGTGCCATCATATCTCGTAATTCATAAACATAAAAGGTGATCAATGAAAAGTGCGCAAGTGAAGTAAAATCAAATGGTCCATGGAAGTTTTTTTTATGCTTGCTAGTATCCATATTGTAATAAAAAATAGGAGTATGATATCACATCCTCACACTGTATAGCCTTTTATTTTGAAGAGTCCATGATACGCCTTTGAACAGATACATGATTCACAGTGACAATACTGCACTCATTGCCTGTGCTGAGACCAACTCACTGACATGTGGGGCGGGGATCATCAGTGATGGTGTTACCCCTTCTAAGCCAATACACTATCACGTGTTTGCCCTAGTATAATATCTGTTGTCTGTTACAACCGTTTCGTACGTCTACGTTGATTTGTTTTTTTCCACACTATTCTTTTATTAATTTATGATAGAAGGTTGTTTTATGTTTGTTTGTTTGTTTGGTTTCTTTGAGTTGCATTTGCATCTCAATTTACTTAACCTACAACTTCTGTTATAATGCAGATTGTTGATAGGCCGACACAAAGCCATGTTTTCCTCTCCAGGGAGTATGTTCAACCACAGTGGGTCTTTGATTGTGTAAACGCTCGTATCATATTGCCGACAGAAGGTTATCTTGTTGGAAGGTATGTCACATGGGGATTGTGATAACTGCGACTTTACCATTGCACCATATGTCAGATATGCTAAATTGTAACTGCTTATGCTGTAGAATCTGTTTAGTGACAATGAATATTTAATATCAAATTGTAACTGCTTATGAGACATGATTATAAATTTGCCAAGTCCTGCACTCTTTTGGTGCCAGATGCCTAGATTGCCAGTTGCTCTCCATTTGCTACTGATATAACTTTTTAGCTGTACGCCTAGACTATTACTTACTAGTTGCTAGCGCTGCTACTAATTTCTTGGTACTGCTACAACTATACCACATGTTGCTGCTACAATATTGAGTTAATTTTCACCGCTGACGAGAAGACCATGAATTATATTGTGCAATAATAAAGAAAAGTAATAATTCGTAGGCTAGTATATGACAATTTTTTTCCATGTTGCAGAGTACCTCCACCACATTTGTCTCCTTTTGTGGACAATGATGCTGAGGGCTACATTCCTGAGTATGCAGAGACAATAAAGAGGCTGCAAGCTGCTGTTCGCAATGAGGTCTTGCCTCTTCCAGGTATTGGTGATGAAGATCTAGACAATTCATTGGTAGCAGCAATGATGGATCGAACAGAATCTAACGAAGCTGCTGAAAAGAAGAGGAAGGTGGGTGGTGTTTCTTTCAGTTTAAGTGGTTTTCAATGCTTCTGTTTTTTCTTGTATTGAATGCATTTCGTGTAATGATCTCGGCATGTCTTTTCTTTTTCCCTAGTTGGAGATGCTAGAGAAGCAATACCATGATGAACTGAAGATGGAAATTGATGGTGTTGCTTTCTCTAGTCTGTCAAATAAGGAAGGAGATAAATCACCAGATGCCAAAGATGATACTCAGTCAGATCGCGAGGAGGATGCCAGTAAACAAGAGGAGAAGGATGATGATGACATTGGTACTGCTCTCATGTCTCGCAGGCAGAGAGGCCTTTATAAAGCTATGAAGGTATGTGTACTCTATCTTTCGCTGTACGCCTGTATGCACTACTGGTTTTTAATGTGAATATGGTTACAAGTCCTTATAATGCTCTCTATAGAAATAACTTCCATTCCTGTTAAAAAAGGTTCTAGTATAGTGCATGACTGTTAGATTGATACTAGTAAAAGCTTTTCTTGTTGACTTGATAGTCCCCTCTTTGATAATATCTACCTTCACATGCATTTTTGCAATAATTAGTTGACAGTTCTATCATAGATTTGTAGTCTTTGATTTGTCTTGCTTCTGATTGCCTTTCTCTACTATCTCAAATTATTATTAACATCTCTTTTGGATGGCTTTTACGACTATCCTGTTTCTTTGTGAACACAGATGGGCAAAGAAAAGAAAAAAGAGAAAATTGAGCTACTTAAGAAGAGAAAAAAGACCGTGGATTCTAGTGCTTCTTCGAAGAAGCGTCACTGATGCTCAGAGTTTGCCAGCGCCACATAAATCTTCATCGCATTGGTGTGGCATCTCTAGTAGAAATGTTGCCATGATCAGCTCATCTGCGTGCCAAGTCCCCGGGATGAGTGGTTGTCTTTTGATATCTCCTATATGTATGCTGAAGATGATCTCATGGAATATGAACCAGGAAACTTGAATAGAAAGTTTTGGTCTTTATTATTGTGTACCAGGAAACTTAAATAGAAAAGTTTTGATCTCCTATGTACTAAGCATTTAGAGTCGTTATTATTGTTTAGCCTGGATGTGTTGCTTGTCTTTTTTTATAGAAAAGGTACAAGAATTAATTTGTCGGTTTCTGTGTACAAAGTTTTTTCTCGTTGGCAGGGTCTACCTTTTTTTTTGTGGGGGAAAGGTAAAATTTCATTCAAGCTTAAATACAAAGTATAGAGATGGGGCAAAAATTGTCCCATTCAAAGTTTTCTTCTAGAATGCGTCTTAGATTCACAAGAGAACAAGCAAGAGCTAGGAATGGAAATTGGCAGGGTCTACTTGTTTTACGCTCGCACTGGACTGACTGGCACTTGGCAGGCCATTCCGCATATGTTTACATGAGTTTGTAGGCGTAGGATGAATTACTGAGCGCCACCAAAGTTCAGAGAACGTATGACCACTGACGAGCCATGATTGCTCAAAGAAAATGACGAGCCATGACATTTAGGCGTAGGATGAATTATTGGGCGCCACCAAAGTTCAGAGAACATATGACGAGCCGTCTTTGGTCTAGGAAAAATACCTTACAATTGTTGGTGTCCTACGTTTTTTTTTCTGGTCCAGATACGGGTCTTTTTTCTGACGCAAACTTCGTTACAGCCTTACAGGAATCGGAAGATGCAAACTTCGTTACAGGAATCGGAAGAGGAACCGAACAAATCCGGTACTCGCCCCATCGGATTGCATTACCGTGACTTTCTGCTACCAAGCCTACCATTACAGAGAGAACCAAACACTGCCTATTAACTTAATGTTCGCGATCTAAAAAATTTAAAATGGGGGCTTCCAGCATCAGATTCCCCTGATGATGTCATTTTAGAATCTTGCAAATTTGCTGCGATCATATCCGCCCATCCTTCCATAGGGGTTTGAAGGGCCAATTCCATGCCTCTGCCCACTGTACCCTTTCCTCATCTTTCGATGTTTTGATGCACTGCTCTCCAGGTTCAGATTCACTTTAGGAGGCTCCTTAAAACAGAATGATGCCGCTACTTTCTGAAATAAAACAATGAATTAGACATATTCAAACATAGTTAGTGAAATGTCAACAATTGGTATTTTTCATCGGTCTTCAGCTACCTTGAAACTTTCAAGGGATAAGCTAGGCTACCACTAAATTTAAGGAAATAACAAATGTGCTTCTATTTGACAACTTAAGATTATGTAAACTTGCAATGAATCAAAATGCTGAGCCAATAAAAATGAACAGAAACCAATAACAGAACATTGAGAAACACAAACATTTACCTTGAGATCAAGCTGATGGATATAAAAAATATCTTTCATAGAGTGTGAGTTGTATGCCAAAAGGTAGGACCTGTAGGCTTCCTTCGCAGACTTGTTTAGAAAGTAATTCCCAGTAACAATATTCTCCTGCTCCAAAACTCACGTTATAATAAAATAGATTGAAACGACGGGATTGAGTTGAGAAAGAAACACTCACAAGTTGTGATAGCGATTTTGGGACATGCTTTTCACTGAACACATATTCAGTCCAGAGAAATTTTGGCTGCCTGCAAGCAAACACTAAATGCGTCACTCCCTCTGTCCAACTATGTAGGGCACTAGAGCTTCCATGTTACTCGTACTGGACTAGTCAAATTGTAAAAAATGCGTAGCATATAAGATTATACAAAATTCATATTTCAAAGTACTTTCACACTACTGACTTTGTATTTAGACATAATGTCAGAAAACAGTGATCACTTTGAGTTAAGAAAATAGTGCTGCATAAACTGATATACATCAGGTTTCCTCTTAATAAAGGGAGACAGACATATATCACCGTAACATTAATTACCTGCAGGTGAATGGGCGGCTTTAATTCTTCCGGTAGTAAGAACAGTAATGCACTTCCTTTGCCTTTATCACCTCGGGCAGTACGACCAACTCTGTGAATGTAATCCTACAATTTAAATTCAAATGTCAAACTTAGCAAAATTGACAAATGCATAATTTCTTTAGCATGGTTTGGAAGCACTAACCTTTGGGTCATCTGGAGGATCATATTGCAGAATATAGTCCTAAGCAAGGCACCAGATCCTTACATTAGTAAGGGGATATACCATATACGTAGAAAGGAGTGGTATGAATGGTTTAAACTTACCACATCAGGAATATCAAGCCCACGTGCTGACACGTTAGTGCATAATAAGATGCCCTTTTCTTCCTTCAGGAATCGGAAAAATGTACTAGTTCGTTTCTGCTGCTTCAGTTGCCCATGGATCTCGTAACACTCTATCCCGAGAAAATTAAGAAGTTCTGCATGGAATTTGACTGAGCTACATGATGAAAAGAACACCATGATCTTCACCTTCTGCTCCTCACCCACTTCCCCTCTTAGGACCTTCACCATCTGCTCCTTGTGAACTTTCAATCTTAGGAAAGTGTACAAAACAAGAAACCTTTTCTCTCTTGGAACGACACAGTAGCCCTGCTGCAAGCCCTCAACTGTAGGCTGCCAGAGCATCAAAGTTATATTTCTCATACCAAATAATCCAGAAAATGTTTTAAAGAGATATGAACAGCTTGTGAAACAGTTGCATACCTTTAATTCAGAATCATCAACTCCAACATAAACAAGTTTCCATTGTCTTTCTTCATTTTTCCCAAATGTAAAATTCGCAAAATCTTGAACCTGTGGGATTACAATTTACAACACATAAGCATTTACACCAACAGGGGAAATTAAGGAAAAGTTTGGATAGGATGAATAACTGACCTTTTGAGTCTGTGTAGCAGAAAAAAGAACAGTTTGTCTATCCTGCATATGATCCATAATAATTCCAGGACAAAACATAGTAATCTCAGACTCTCAGTAGAAATTTTAATGGCTGCACTATGCACATGAAACGAAATTGCCAGATGGTCACATACCCGAGGGAGGCGTTTAAATATTTGTTTCATATCCTCCTCGAAATTTTTCTCAAGTATCCGATCAGCTTCATCAATTATAAGGCACTGCAACATATGATGGGTTATGCCAGAGAAAAATAGAGGGGGGGGTGGTCAGTCATGATATTCACTGCCTTAACAGCAAATTTTCATGTTTTTTTTCCCAAAAAATTCAATGCCATTTTCCTGCCAAATAGGGACCCATATTACATGAGACAGTAAACAAGGCTTGGCCTTCTCCATGGGCAGCCCAGCACAAAATTAATTGGTTTTAGTATTCTCTGGGCCGACGTATGAGTGGGCAACAAGATTGATTCCATCCCCGCTCGACAAGATATTTACAATGCAATTATATGTTAATTTAATTGGAGAACAGAATCAGTTTGATTTTAAGGATGGTTACGAAGAACAACTTTTAGCTACAAATCCAATACTTGTACCCATTACTGTATCGGTTTTGTTTACAGAATTAACAAATAACATTATATGCAATTCCACTTGACTTTTGTCAAGCACAAATTTGCTGCAACTAATAGCAAACAAAGACGAAACACATAACCGAGCTAATATAACAATACGACTTTATACAAATATAAGCTATTGCCTTTTACAATTTTGCATATACTTGGCATAATGTATGCTGCAATTTGATATATACTCTAATTCAGCATTAATAGGTAGACGGAGTCATGGACAAGCATAAGGTAGATGTACACAAAGATTTCATATATAAAACAATCAGGTAACTGATCATGCAAATAGATAAGCATGAAATTTCTGGTTGTATTTTTTTTATCTAAATGTGACAATTTAAGTATATGCACTATCTCAACAGAAATAAGGAATTTGGAAAAAAATGATAGTAACCAGAATATCTTTACCTTTAGCTCTTTGTATTTGAAACTAGGGGGAATTCCTTGTGTGCCATTAAAAAAAGATCACAATGCCCTGTGTGCCCCTAGAAAAGTTCAGCGGTCTTCAGCGCCACTGCTCCAACTTTTTTGTGCCCTCCATGCCACTGCCGTCAGTTTGGGCTCTAACGCCGTCAAACTGCAGATGTGAAAAGACGAAAATACCCTTAAGTCTAAATATGTCATTAATTTTTTTGAGCATCTTAACGACTTCAAATGAAAAAACTCAAAACTAGAAAGTTGTAGATCTCGTCAAGATCTATAATTTTCATATAAAAATTATCTTCATTTAATTCCACAAAAAAATTATATGATTTTCTAAGATATATTAATCATATCAAATCATATTTTTTTGCTGTAAGTGGCTTGCCGAAATTTGGTTGTAAGTGGCTGAAAAACACTGTTCTGGCTGAAACGTTGTGAGAGAAAAACACTGTTCCGGCTGAAAAAAGAAGCCGAACAAGCCGGATATAAGGTAAGCCGAAAGGGGCCTTGCCAGCGTTATTTTGCCCTAGGGGCAATCTCGTCTTTTTGAGTACTAGACTAGATGTTTGGAGAAAAATAAGGAAAAAGGAGGAAAAAAAGAGAAATGGTGTATAAATCAAGGTGCTTACTTGTTTGATCGAAAGGGCCCGCGCCTGGACGTTCGGACGCACCTCCCGCGCGTTATCTCGCACCGCATCCCATCCAGCTTTAGTTCCCCCGCATTCGCATGTCGCACCCGCGCCCATCTCGCACTCCAACAACCCATCCTGCACCCGTGCCCATCCCCAGGCCTCACGTGGGTCTCATTCACCTACCCTGCTTGTGGATGCGTGTTGTGAAGGCGTCTGTCAGCCTCAGATGCTCACACGGTGACCCACCTAAAAGCTCTAGTCTGGTTTTGGTAAATTGATGAAACCCTAAGTGCTAACCTAGTTTATCAAAATGATTATGAGATAGGTGGTACATTCCAAGTGGTGAAGCAAATGAAGATCATGACACGATGATGATGGTGATGGCATGGTGATGATCATATGCTTGGACTTGGAAAAGAGAAAAGAAAAACAAAAAGCTCAAGGCAAAGGTGAAATTGATAGAAGCTTTTCGGTTTAGTGATCGAGACACTTAGAGAGTGTGATCACATTTAGGATCGATAGCCGTACTATTAAGTTGGGTGAAACTCGTCTCGAAATACGATTATCAAAGTGCCACTAGATGCTCTAACTCATTGCATATGCATTTAGGATCTAGTGGAGTGCTAATACCCTTGAAAATATTTGTGAAAATATGCTAACACACATGCACAAAGGTGATACACATTGTGTTTAGCACTTGGGAGCAAGGGTAAGAAACTTCATCGGTGGAGTGTTCGCCTGTAGAGTGCGGACAGTCCGATAGTGTCACCGGTGCCCTGTATAGAAAAGACATGTTTTCATAGAGTGCACCGAACGCTGGCCTCAATTGGACTGGAGCGTCCGGTCAGTGGAAGCAGTGAAGACGCTGGCGTCGGTCTTTGACCGGACGCTGGGTCACTTCGTGACCGGACGTTGACGGGGTGCGTCCGGTCCTGCTGACGTGGCAACGCACAGAGAAGAGGGTGAATGACCGGACGCTGGGTGAGTTCGGTCAGGGGTAACCGACGCGTCCGATCATAAAAAATTGTCTCTGGATACTTACTGGAAGTGACCGGACGTTGGGGTCCTACGTCCGATCACTTTGAGCAGCGCGTCCATTCAAAACTTAAATGTACCGACAATCGTTGAGATTAGGCGATCAACGTTTGAAGCAGGGGACACGTGGCGTGCATCGCGCGACCGAACGCTGGGGTCCTGCGTCCGGTCGATCTGACCGGTGCATCCTGTCGCCCTGACTTTTTAGAGAACAGAGAGCCAACGACTCTTTTCGTGGGGGCTTCTATTTAAGCCCTATGGCCGACTCAAGCTCACTCTCTTGGCTATTTGCATGGACATAGCAACCTTGTGAGCTTAGCCAAAGCCCTCCCACTCATCTCCATCATTGATTCATCATCTTTGTGAGATTGAGAGAGAATCCAAGTATATTGATTGAGTGATTGCACCTAGAGGCACTTGATATTCGTGTTTAGCTGACAGGATTCGCTTGTTGCTCTTGGTGATTGCCACCACCTAGACGACTTGGAGCAGCAGAGGAGGGTTGGCACGAGTTGTTGATTGTTCGTGGCCATCTCCGGTGATTGTGAGGGGACTTGTGCCTTCCCCGATGGAGCGCCGAAAGGTAACCCTAGCGGATTGCTCGTGTCATTGAGTTACCTCGCTTATGGGTAGATTCTTGCGGTGTTCAATTGTATGGATGAGGTTTGTGCAACACCTTTTAGCCGCCGAACCACCAAGTGTTGGTCGACACAACGGGAAGATAGCGTGTTGGCAAGCACGTGAACCTCGAGAGAAAATTTGTTGTCTCTTGCCCTTTGGTATTCTTCTGATGATTGAATAAATATTCATCTTGTGATTGATTCACTCCTCTACGCAGCGGTATAATCACCTTACTTATTTACATTTCCGCAAACTAGTTGTAGCAAGCTCTTTAGTGTAGCTCGAATTGAGAGCTTGCTTTATAGATTAAGTCCATCTAGTGGAGCTCTTTAGTGTAACAATTGTGAGAGCTCTTAGTGAGTAGTGACTTAGTAAATTGTGCGTCTAGTGATCATAGTAATTAGAATAGTTGGATAGGTGGCTTGCAACCCTTGTAGAGCTAGAGTAAGTTTGCTTTTCGTTATTTATCATACTAATCAAATTGTTCTAGTTGGTTTATATATTTTTAAATAGGCTATTCACCCCCTCTAGCCATATTAGGACCTTTCACCACCACGGCGCCCCCAGCAGCAGCAGTAGGGCCGTTGTGGCAGATGAAACATGTGCTCTCCCAGATCTACTTTTGAAACATCCAGATGAAATATTTGCACATATAGCTGAAATAGATGAAACACTTAAAACATGTTTGTATAGTCATAGCAACATATACAACATCAAAGATCTACGTTTGCAATATTCAGATGAAACACTTACAACATAAGTCTGAAATATATGAAACACTTGAAACATACGCTTGAAACTTACGTATAGAGCCATAGTAACATATGCAACATCGAGATGAAACACTTGAAACATACATATGAAACACCTGAAACACTTGAAACATAGGCTTGCAACATGTGCAACATCCAAGATCTATTTACAACATTCAAATGAAACACTTGAAACATAAGTCTAAAAACGCCTGAAATACTTGAAATACAATGTCGCAGGTGCCCACAACCTAGCTACATGGTGGGGAACTCTGATAGCCAGCAAACTCAGGTCCGGGGGACGTTGAGAGCAACGGTCCAACGTATACCCCAGACGCAGCATGAAGGCCTCCCCTTCCTACCTACGGGTGCGCTAGATGGGGGCAGCAGCGCAGGCCACCCTTGCCTCTCCTTCTACGATAAGAAGTGGATGGGGGCATGGTGCGAGGCCCGAAACAACACGGGATGTGGTTGGGCGCTGCGGGAGACATGGTGGAGCGCGGTCATAGAGCAGTCGTGGCGCTGCGGCGATTTTTAAGAAATTGCGATGCCTGAAGGGGAGCGGATATAGGAGCGGATAAGAGAGCCTTGTGGGTATCACGACCCACCAACGAGGTGTTCGGACAGACAGACGTCTTAGACAGAGCATTACTTGTTGCATGATAGTTTTCCAAAGCCCATGAATAGAACGCAATTTTGTGGAATTAATTTTCCTTCCGGCAAAGCACAAGGAGCGACAAAGTGCTTCAACGGCTAGGTCGAGCGGCTGTAGGTTCTCACATACATGCTGGCTAGAGGTAAGTGCAGCCTTGCCTTTGCTAGATTGTTATGGGGTGTTTGGCAGGGCTCCTCCTGAGGGGCTCATCCGGAGGAGAATAGCCTTTTGGAGAAACCACAAATTGTGGCTCCTCCAAAACGGCTCTGGCTCCTCTATTTTCACTGGAAAACGGCTCCGCCACCAAAACATTTGATAGGGCTCCTCCTCCGAGGAGCCTTGTCTGTCGCCCTGAGCCAGCGAATGCCCCTAAGCTTAATGTTTAGAATCACATCAACCACTCTCAAATCTTTCATGTCAAAAGATTTGGACAGAAAATCCATGACCTCTTCAATCACAATGAAGTTGGTCTCAAAGACCGGTATGCCATCGACATACAAGCACATGATCACTTGTCCTTCACCATAGAGATAGTACTTGTTTTGGGCTAGAACACTTTCTTGCCACGAGTGCTTCTGTACCAGGTTTGTGCTAGAACTCCATCATCAAACACTTTGTTGCCACGAGAGATAGTACTTGTTCTTGGCTAGAACACTTCCTTGCCACGACCGAGGAGCCTTATCCACCGCCATGAGCCGGCGGCTGCACCTAAGTATGTCATCGACATACAAGCACATGATCACTTCTCCACCATAGAGATAGTACTTGTTCTGGGCTAGAACACTTTCTTACCACGAGTGCTTCTGTACCAGGTTTGTGCTAGAACCTCCATCATCAAACACTTTGTTGCCACGAGAGATAGTACTTGTTCTAGGCTAGAACACTTCCTTGCCACAAGTACTTCTATACCAAGTTTGTGCTAGAACCTCTATCATCAAACACTTTGTTGCCATGAGTGCCCTTTGTCCTCGCGTTCTCCTCCAACACCAAAAATGAGTGCCCTTTGTCCTTGCGCTCTCCTCAACACAAAAAAAGAATAGCACAAAGCTAGCAATTGAAGAAAACCTATCAAGATAAGAGACAGTGCCTTCAAGTAGCCTTTGTCCTAGCACATCATGTCCGCCCAGGGCACGGCATGGCGGGACGCGCGCGTGGCCTCCAACTTTCCTCAATTTCTCTGCAGGAGCGCACAACAACTTCCTATTTAAGTTGAGCACCTTTCTATTGGGTTTTACATGTGGTACTAATCTCGCTCCTCTTTATCACTAATTGTGGGCCTTCAGAATTATTTGATTAATTGCTATACTAGTTATAGGCCAAGCCCGAGTAATCCAAGGTTTATTAGTGCGTTCGAATACAGGCACACATGTTTGAAACGCCAAGTCGTCCCACGTTGTAAGTTTTTCTATGTGGTTGTTGCTCCAAGACAGGTTGTGCTCGGCTACAACAACATAATGAGGCTGGCCAAACTCATATACTTTTAATTTGCCAATTATGTTGCAAGAATATAGAAACAACAGAACACTTGTTTTTGTGAATGCCCAATTGCTCGGAAGGTCTGGGAGGGATCAGCAATATGGGCAAAACAAGCATGTCTCCAACCTTCTAACAGGCCGGGACTAAGAGCAACTGCAACCACAATGTATATAGGCTGAGTAGTTTATATAGGCAGTTTTTATGTCAGTAGACTATAGCTATGGTTGTTGCCACAATGTTGAAGTCTAAATAAACCAAAATATAGGGCCAATAACACATTAAAAAAAGGAAACCAACTGTCCACGTCTCTTCTCCCCATCTCGCGAGCGTCGATGCCGCCGCTTCTGCTTGTTTCCTCCGACACCATGCCGCCGCCTCCGACGCAAATCGCTCCAGACAAATCGCCTCAGCGAATCGCCACCTCTGCTCGTTGCCTCCGCTGGGGCGTGGACACTTGGACGGCCGGGACGGCAACTTTGCCGGCGGCGGCCGCACTAGGCACGCGGACGCCAGGACGGTGGCCTCGTTGGGCGCACGGACGAACCTCCCAACTCCCATGGCATCTGGATCCGAGA